TTTTTTTTTTTGGTACCAGGGATTGAACTTAGGGGCACATGAGCACTGAGCCACATCCCCAGCCCCATTTTGTTTTTTATTTAGAGACAGGGTCTCATTGAGTTGTTTAGCACCTCACTTTTGCTGAGGCTGACTTTGAACTCAAAATTGTCCTGCCTGAGCCTGCTGAGCCACTGGGATTACAGGTGTGCATCACCATGCCTAGTATCATATACAAGGTCTTGCTGAGTTACTTATGGCCTCACTAAGTTGCTGAGGTTGGCTTTGAACTCAAGATCTTCCTTCCTCAGCCTCCCAAGCTGCTGGGATTACAGGCATTACTACGCCCAGCCGAGTTGTATTTCTTGACATTCACATTTGTGAAGAACACAGGCCATTTCTTTTGTAGACTATCCCTCAACTTGAGTTTGGTTGATCTTTCCTCCTGAGGAGATTTAGCTTTTCACATTTCTCACAGGAATACAGCAGAATGATGCCGAGTTCACCTTGGTTCATTACATTAGGAGACACTTGCTGTGGGTTAATCTTTTTTTKTTGTTGTTGTTATATAGAACTCAGGGACACTCAACCACTGAGTCATATCACCAGCCCTGTTTTTGTATTATATTTCAAAACAGGGTTGCACTGAGTTGTCCAGCACTTTGCCCTTGCTGAGGCTGGCTTTGAACTCAGATCCTCCTACCGCAGCTTCCTGAGCTACTGGATTACAGGTGTGCGCCATCACACCCAGCACCAAATTCATTATTATTATGATGGCTAGAAACAGATGATGTTTCTAATTCTACTGCTCATTCTACATTTTTTTTTGAGAGAGAGAGAGAATTTTTTAATATTTATTTTTCCAGTTATCGGCGGACACAACATCTTTGTTTGTATGTGGTGCTGAGGATCGAACCCGGGCAGCACGCATGCCAGGCGAGCACGCTACCGCCTGAGCCACATCCCCAGCCCCTCATTCTACATTTTTTCAATTGATTTCCTGTTATAAGGAATAGTTTTCCTTTCTCTACCAACTGTTTATGTATTTATTGAATCATTTATTTGTGAATTTATTTATTGGGCTGGGGATGTGGCTCAAGCGGGGGCGCACTCGCCTGGCATGCGTGCTGCCTGGGTTCGATCCTCAGCACCACATACAAACAATGATGTTGTGTCTGCCGAAAACTGGAAAATAAATATTAAACTTCTCTCTCTCTTAAAAAATGAATTTATTTATGTATTTATTTATGAATGTATGGATTCTTATTTTATTCAATAGGTTAAATCCTTCACTGTCATTGTTTTTCTGCTCAGATTATTTGAGATTTAACCAGTGTAAACCCTTTAGAAATGGCTTTTATGCTGTTTTAAATTGTCTCTATTATCCTTTGAGCACTTTGTTATCCCCTTTTCCTCTCTGTGGTGCTGGGATCAAATCCAGGGCTTTGTGCATGCTAGGCAAACACTTCATCACTGAACTAAAATTCCAACCCTCCCATTTTACTTTTTGCTATAAAATAGTGTACTGTTGTGTCAGCCATTTCTCCAAGAAGCCCTTGGGAGCAGAATGGTCCCCAAGTCCCCACCCTAACTTGTTAGAGTTACATGGCACACATATATCTATTTCTGTATTTTTACTTAATAGTTCATTCTGTGCCCTCCTCTTTCCTTATTCATGGGTAACTTTTTCTCCAACAGTATGAAACCTGGCTACCATTAACTACGATATAATTATTCGTTAGTCCTAAAATACATAAGAAGTAGCTTCAGAATTGTTAATCTACACCTCTACAAAAAAAAAGAAGCCTAGTAATTAAAGATTAGTATTTGCTTAGAGTACTTTTAGTTTGAGGGCATACAGTCCAAGCAATGTATTCAGAAACTGTTGGGTTAGGTAACAATTTATTTACTTATTTGCGCAGGAAATAAACTTAACATTTTAATTGTTTTAGGTGTATAGTTCACTGGCATTAAATTGTTGTGCAGCCATCTTCCTAAATTAAAATTTCACATATCAAATTATGGTAAATCCCTATTTCTCCTTTTTTCCAGCCGCTGATACCCATCATTTCTTTTTTTTTTTTAATAATTTTTAGTTGTAGGTGGACACAATACCCTTATTTTATTTTTATGTGGTGCTGAGGATTGAACCCAGTGCCTCATGCATGCTAGGTGAGTGCTCTTCCACTGAGCCATGACCCCAGCCAGACGCCCATCATTTCTATGAATTTGTCTTTTCTAGGTATCTCATATATGTGAAATCATATAGTATTAATCTTATGATTGGCTTATTTCACTTAATGTTCCGAGGGTACCATACAGTAGCATATGTCAGAATTCCCTTTTTTTTAAAAAAATATTTATTTATTTATGTATTGTTAGTTTTAGGTGGATACATTAGTTTGTTTTGGCTGCCTAATATTTCACTGGATGGATATACTATATTTTGTTTTTCTGTTAATCCATTGATGGACTCAGGTTTCTTCCCTCTCTTGGCTGCTATGAACATGAGTGTGTCCAAATATGTTTATGTCCTTGCTTTCTTTTGGAATTGCTAGATCAAAAGTGGAATTGCTCAATCACGTGGCAATTCAATTTATTTTCCAGTTTCTACACCATTTTACATTCCCACCAATGATGCACAAGGTTATTGATTTCTTCCTATCCTAATCAACACTTGCTGTTTTTCTGTTTTGTATTTGGTTCTTTGTGTGTGTGTGTGTGTGTGTGTGTGTGTGTGTGTGCGTGTGTGTGCATGCACACCAGGATTGAAACCAGGAGTGCTTAACCACTGAGCTACATCCCCAGCTCATTTTATTTTTTGAGACAGAGTCTCACTAAGTTGCTTAGGGCCTCCATAAATTGCTGAGGCTGGCCTTGAACTTGTGACCCTCCTTTGTCAACCTCCTGAGTCACTGGGATCATAGGTATGTGCCACTGTTCCCTGTGGTTTGTTATGTTTTTTGATGATAATTATCCTAATGGATATGAAATCATATTTCACTGTTTTTGATTTGTGTTTCCCAAATGATTAGGGATAATGAGTATATTTTAATGTGTTTATTGGCTATTAGTGTCTCTTTTTTGGAGACATGTCTATTCAAGATGTTTGTGTTCTAAAACCAAATCGCATATTATAGTATTAAAAATTACCTGATATAAAATACTCACATTACTACTCCATAATAATACATGTAAATAACTAGATATTATTAAATTTTTTGAATTGATTTTTGCTTCTGAAATTCATAATATCCTTGTTTACAGTTAGAATCAAAGATGGACATAGAGTGAACTCTCACATAGCCAAGCTGCAAGAGTTATGGAAAACGCCTCAAATTCAAACAATTCACATCCCTAAATCAATGAAGGATGCATCTTTTTTAAAGGTAAACTTTGAGGGAAATTTATTTATTTATTGTGGTGCTGAGGATCAACTAGAGGGTTTTGCACATGCTAGGCAAACACTCTACCACTGAGCTATACTCAGTCCCAGAAAAATACTATTTGAAGTCAGAGCTGAACTTTTTCTTTCCTCACTACTGGTGATTGAATGCAAGATTTGCTCATACTAGGTAAGCACTTTACCACTAGCTACATGCCTAGCCCCAGAGTTGAACTTTTATCAAAAATACTACTTACCAAGAGGTTAAGGCATTGCACATTACAAAGTTTACCCAGCATATTGTCTGGGAATCAATAAATATCTCTTGGGTAAACTCATGAATGAATGCAAGGATGATAGATTTCCTATCATAAGATCTAATGTGGGTTGGGGTTGTGGCTCAGTGGTACCAGCATGCATGAGGCACTGGGTTTGATCTTTAGCACCATATAAAAATAAAATAAAGATATTGTGTCCACCTAAAAGAAAAAATAAATATTAATAAAAAAATTTATCATGTATAACTAATTAAAACAAAAAATTTTAAAAGATTTAATGCGTCTTTATTAGGAAGCTCAAACACAAAGATACTCAAGGAAAGTTCCATTCTACTGGCTGCATGCCTGTAATCCCAGTGTCTTAGGAGGCTGAGGCTAGAGGATCACAAATTTGAGACCAGCCTCAGCAACTTAGTGAAACCCTGTCTCGAAATTTAAAAAATAAATACAAATGACTGGGGATGTAGCTCAGTGACACAGCACCTCTGGGTTCAATCCCTAGTAYTACCCCCTGCCCCCCAAAAAAGTCATTCTAGAGTTAAAAGTTGAAAACCCAACCTTATAAAGATTTAACTCAAGAACTACAAAATTAGAAGCAGCAGGTAAAGGAAATGGCATTAAGGGTTTTACAATTATTTACTTGTACGCTCACTAAAGACCAGTTCTAAAAGCTGGGTGTGGTGGTGCACCTGTATTCCTAGTTACTTGGAAGGCTGATCTTTTGAACTTAGAGGAGTTCAAGGTTAGCCTGGTCTACATAGCTAGACTCCACTAAAAGAGAGATTATAAAGTAAATTCTGTGTGTGTATATATATACATATAGTAGACTCTTGAATCGAGCATGTACTTCAAAATCAGAAGTATACTCGTTCAGAATTACTTAACTGGAGATTTTAACTGTCCCTCAGTATGTCCAATACTGATAGTTATTCTGGTACTGGAAAAAAGACTTTAGTTAAAAATAAGTAGAGTCATTGGGTTAATTTTAGGTACTATGTTATACTTCAAAAATCATATTGAGATGGGCTAGCATTGTGGTTCAGTGGTAGAGTGCTTGCCTGGCATGCACAAGGCACTGAGTTTGATCCTCAGCATCACATAAATGTAAAATAAAGATGTTGTGTCCACCTAAAACTAAAAAATGAATATTTAAAAAATATCGAGAAGGTAAAATGCAGTATATACAAAGTAAAAATTGCTGGCAGAACAGCAGATTCACTCCCTTATTCCTCTAGGGCAGGGGATACTCAAAACTCAAAGGACATCTGGATTACTTGAGTGGAATGTCAAAATTACTTGCATTCTTTATTCATTTGTGTGAGTGTGTGTTGCTGGGGATTGAACCCAGGGCAGCAAGAACTCTACCAACTGAGCTAATCCCCAGGTCACTTGCACTTTTTTAAAAAAAAATTTTTWAAATTGTCAATGGACCTTTATTTTACTTATTTATATGTGGTGCTGAGAATCAAACCCAGCCTCACACACGCCAGGCAAGTACTCTACCCCGGAGATAGGACCCCAGCCCCCACTTGCACTCTTTAAGTGGCCATTTCTTTTTCTTTTGGCCATGTTAACATAGTTTAATTTGTTTAAGTCAAATGTACAAATGGCACAGCTCTCCTAAACATCCACTCTTTCACATAAGGGAGACTGTCAACTTCTGTTCTATAATGCTGATCATAAATTCTTTTATTCTTTTAGCATCCAGACCTCACCATAGGCCAGAAGCGTTATCTGTGCAGCATTGCTAAAATCTATAATGTAAATTACCTGAGGACCTTGATGAAGAGGCAGTACATGTATGTGATTCAACGCAGCTTACAAAAGCCAGGCAGGTACACCTCCAGTTGGTGTCTCACTAGTTCAAGAAGTGAGAGGGCCATCTAACTGTGGTGATTTATATGACAGGTGTCCTCACTCATCATAAGAGCCGCCTCTGCTCTCCTTACTCACAGAAACAGCATTACTCCTGCACTATATGGCGACACCAACTGGAGAGGGAGGAGTCTTCCAACATTGCAGCCATATCTGCACCTGAAATGATCATACATCATTCCCTTTGGCGACCAGTGAGAAACAAAGAAGGGTCTGTTTCTTGAGGTTTAAGTGGGAGAGAATGTGCCCAATTTTATCTGAAGGGTAGCTCACTAGTTTGTGTTCCCTAGTATGTTCACTTTACTAAACTCAGACTAGGTGGACAGAAAGCACAAAAGGATCTTTCTCTTTACTGAGCTGATTGAAATAGCCACTTTTTTAAGAACATGTTTTGTGGAATTGTAAAAAACTTGATCAGACAGATCATTTCAATATATTTCCATTCAAATTTTTAAAAAATGCAAATACTTGCAAAAGGAGAGTTATGGTTGCTTCTGCACTGGAGAGTATTTCAAAACAAAAAACAAAAAAAAAAAAAAAGGAGGAAAAAAGAGATTAGAAAGCCCCAATATTCAAACTGCACTTCTATAATTAACTTTGCATTTCAGGATTAATAAATCACAGGAGTATTTAGGGACTTAAGCGGTCTCTGGTAATTCCAGTAGCTAGAAAAAATAATTTGTGTAGATTTCCATGTGCATTAAGCAGCTGTTCACTTTGTTGGCTCCAATTAAGATACTTCCTTTTATTATAGGTTAAAAACTGGGTATGCATCTAAAATAAGATGTAAGTCACTGAAGATTTTTAGAAGACCTGGCAGACTATTCATGCAACCAGGTAAATTTGGAATTTAAAAAATATGCATTTTTTAAGATCTTAGGTTTAAAAATATTAAACTAAATGTAGTTTCACTTTTATTATGAAGACATTACAAGTTTTGGAATGTGATCTCTGCCTTAATTGTTCCAAATAAAAAACTAAACATGAGGGGGCTGAGACTGTAACTCTGGTAGAGCGTTCACCTAGCATGTGTGAGGCACTAGGTTTGATCCTCAGCACCACATAAAGATAAAGAAAGGTATTGTGTCCATCTTCAACTAAAAAAAATATTTTAAAAAGCCCTAAACATTAAATAGTTTATGCTCTCAATTAAAAGAATACACAGCTCAAGGGAATGAGATTCAAATTATTTCTTTTTCTTCTTTTGGGGATGCTGGGAATCAAACCTAGGGCTCACACATGCTGGGCTACTTCCCCAGCCCACAGTATTTCTAATTCTCAATATATTTACAATATCAAGGTCCAAAACTCAACAGAGAATGAATTTGTCAGAACCCTGATCCACAAATATCTTTTTGAGCCATCACACTTCTTTAATAAGATAGTGCTGTTTTTGTTTTTTAGTTGTAGACTGTCCCAATACCCTCATTTTATCCACTTATTTCCATGTAGTGCCAAGGATCAAACCCAATGCCTCACACGTGCTAGGCAAGTAATCCACCACTGAGTCACAATCCTGGCCCAGATAGTGCCATTTTTACATGGACAGCATATTTTCTATAGCACTTAGTAATTTACAAAGGGCTATATCACTCATACTATCTTGTCTGATATTCAACAAACCAGTGAAAGCATGCCAAGCAGGTGATATTATCAACGTTTTATAGATGCAACTCAGTCAAATCCAGACTTTAAAAGGATCTGCATAAAGGATCCTTCTACCACGAGTATAGAACACTGCAGAATTAAAAAGGAAAAACTGGAAGATAAATTGAGTGATCAGAAATTCTCAGAATTATAATGGAGTTATAAGTGGAAATGAAATAATTCTCTAGTTAGTGCCATACTGCCTAGGAAGTAGGGAAGTAAAGCCTTCTGAATTGATATTCCATTGCTGTACAACAGCATCAACCCAGCTCTGCTGTAAAAACAATACTATACCTACCCAAGAAATTAGAGAAAGGGGGAAAAAGTAAGTCTGGTTCCAAAAAGAACAGTTAGGGAAACCCTGGGGAGGGGAAAAGGCACTGTGGCCCCCCCAGAGAAAGAACCAAAGGAAAATGGAAAGACACTGAAGATATAACTGACCGCTTTTTCTCCCTGACGAAAAGATTCTGAAAACCAATGGGAGAGGGCTTGGATTGTAGCTCCATGGTAGAGTACTTGACTAGCATGTGTGAGGCACTGGATTCAATTATTGACACTGCATATAAAGAGAGGAGAGGAGAGGGAGAGGGAGAGGAGAGGGGAGAGAGAAGAAAGAAAGAAAACCAATGGGAATACTTAGTAACAAAGAATTTGTTATACAGTAACTTGTTTAGAATATAGTACTGTGTATCTTATTTTTAAGAGTAAGAGGACTAAGGTGATTATCTCTGCTAAAAGTTAATTAATGAGCTAGGTCATTTTGAAAATGTTTCAAAGCAGACATTATAAATTCTTATTATTCCTTCAGTTTCTTCAAATGATTCTGAATCATACATGAATGAAGAAAAAAAGGAAGAAGATTTACTAAATAAGTGTATGCAATCAATGTCAATTGAAGAAAGGGGAGAACATCTGATGTTAACTTGACAGTCATGTGTTGTGGACTGAATTCAGACACCACCTAACATCAAGATATTGTATCCCAAAGGGGAAGGCAAGGGACTGTGAATTGTGWCCTTTATGTTTAGGATGGTGTTATTCACCATTAAGTCATGAATTTTAGTTTGTTCAAAAACTTTACAATAATATGATTGGTCTGATATAGTTCTATGTACCATTGATACTAGTGTAATAAAATTTACATGTAATATATGCTTGTATTTCTAGCTAGGTACAATTAAAATTTTTCTTGTCACTTAAAAATGAATTATTTTTCTTTAAACCTGACAAATGCATTATGAATGTAATTCCTTTCTCTACTTATGCTAAATTCTAAAATAATATTCTAATATCCTTCAAGTTTGGAATAAAGAAAACTCCAAAATACTCAGATGTATAATAGCATTTGAAAGACTATCATTAGGGCTGGGGATGTGGCTCAAGTGGTAGTGCGCTTGCCTGGCATGCGTGTGGCCTGGGTTTGATCCTCAGCACCACATACAAATAAAGATGTTGTGTCCGCTGAAAACTAAAAAAAATAAATAAATAAAATAAATATTAAAAAATTCTCTTTAAAAAAAAGAAAAAAGGAAAAAAAAGACTATCATTACTTGCAAAGTAGGTACTCAATAAATAGTTGCTACTTGATACAAGTTAAAAATGTACAGATTTGCCTTATAAAAATTAGGCTCTCAAACTAGATTCAGCTGGGAATAGTTGCACTTTTTTTTTTTTTTTTTTTTTTGAGAGAGAGAGAGAGAGAGAATTTCAGTATTTATTTTTAAATTTTTGGCGGACACAACATCTTTGTTTGTATGTGGTGCTGAGGATTGAACCCGGGCTGCAGGCATGCCAGGCGAGCGCGCTACCGCTTAAGCCACATCCCCAGCCCAATAGTTGCACTATTGACAGGATTCTTTACATTTGCACTTTAATGAGCTTCCCAGAGAAACTTGAGTGGTTCTTACCAAAAAAAAAAAAAAAAAAAAAAAAAAAAAAATTCTGGGGTTGTGGCTCAGTGATAGAGCACTTGCCTAGCACGTGTGAGGCCCTGCATTCAATCCTCAGTACCACACACAAAAAAATAAATCAATAAGGGCTGGGGTTGTGGCTCAATGGTAGAGTGCTTGCCTAGCATGCATGAGGCACTAGGGTCGGATCCAGCACCACATAAACAAATTAAATAAACAAAATAAGGTATTGTGTCCATCTACAACTAAAAATCATATTTAAAAGAAAACTGTGAAAAAAGAAAAATTTCAAAAATTACACCTTAAAAAAATCAATCAATAAAATAAGGGTACTGTGTCCAAATACAATTAAAAAAATATACTTTAAAAATGTTGTTAAATCTTGAAAAATGGGAGTAGCAACAGTTAAAGAATCACTGCTGATTTAATCAATCAATATGAGACATTATGTAGAAAATAAAATGTGAGGCCAACTTTATGACAGAATGTTGTAAGAGAAGAGTGCTCTGAGAGGTCATCTCAACTACCCCTTTAATACTTAAATTTTGCGGTTTCATTTGGTCTTTCATTTTTTTGTTTTTTAAAAAATTAAACACAGATTATCAAAAAAGTATAAATGAAAGGTAAACATTTATTACTAGAGAAGAGAAAAATGTATACAGAAAGTCTAAATTCTTTCTCTTCATGCACTACCTTTGCAATAAAGTCCAAATACTAACTTTGAAGATATTGTCAAGGATAAATTTTTCTAAACACATGACTATCTACTGTGTCGTGGACTCTTTTTTTTCATAGAAACTATATACTGCAAATATATTCTTATAGTTTACAAGAAGCTCAGAGCACTTACGTATAAACAAAGAAGACATTTCTTACTGCAAAATATTACAGAAGTTAATACAACTGTGTGGCTCTTAAGCATTTAATTACTTAAACAAAGGAATGAAAAAAAAAAAACCCACAAAATCATGAACAGGCATGGCTTTAAGATTTTTTGTATTCAATTCGTTCTACTTTCACATCATCTCCAATTAGCTGATAGACGTAAGTGACCACTGTAGATGCCTGGATATCCATCAACACAAATGAAGGAATAATATTTCTGAAAGAAAAAAAAAAGTTAGTATTCTGTACTAAAGAGAAACAGCACTATAAATCTCAATTTAAGATAACAATTTGAGGAGCTGGGGGTGGTGGCTCAGTGGTAGAGCACTTGCCTAGCAAGTGTGAAACACTGGGTTCAATTCTCAGCACCACATATAAACAAAAATAGAAGTTCTATCAATAACTAAAAAAATAAAATTAAAAAAGAAAAGATAACAATTTGAACTCAAAAATCTGATTATTACTTACATACTCAAAAGAATAATTACCAAAAGAAGACTGCTAAAAAGTACACAGTTATTTAAAAGATTACATGTCTTTTATGAAATGTCAAACACACAATCATTAACTTTACTAAAGCCCCCAAATTTCTAAATTGTATACTACTTACGTTTCTAAGGCATTATAAGCGCCAGTGGCAGAACCTGGGTTAATGTAGAATTTATTTTCATGCTCAAATGCTTCAAATTTGTGTGTGTGCCCTGAGATAAGAATGTCCACATCAAACTGTCTCTGCAACAGGGCTAAGCTGGCCATATCTCCCCACGGAATAACTTGATGTCCATGGATCAGACCAATTTTGAACTGTCCCACAGTCACAACTTTCTGTTCTGGATAATTCAGATTCTAATATAGGAAAGAGATAAAGAAAACATGAATTTTATTTTCTGGTACTGGGGATAGAATCCAGGGGTATTCTATCACTGAGCTACATCCCCAGTCTTTTTATATATTTATTTTTTGCTACTGGGGATTGAACTCAGGGGCACTCGACCACTAAGCCACAGCCCTAGTTTGTATTTTATTTAGAGACAAGGTCTCTCTGAGTTGATTAGCACCTCACAGTTGCTAAGGCTGGCTCTGAACTTGATATCCTTCTGGCTCAGTCTCCCGAGCTGCTGGGATTCAGGCATGCGCCACCATGCCCTTCCTCCCTTCCTTCCTTCCTTCCTTCATTCATTTATTTTTTGAGGCAGGGTCTTGCTAAGTTACTGAGGCTGGCCTTGAACTTGTGATCTTCCTACTTCAGCCTCCTGAGTCACTGGGATTACAGGTGTATGCCTGGCAAAAACATGTATTTTAGAAATGTTTTCTAAAAAATCACTGTATAAATATTCAACCTTTTAAGGATGAGGAAACTGAGGCACAAATAGGTTAAAATAATTTGCCCAAGGTTACATGCCAGTAAGTGACTAAGATCCAAATTCTAGTAGCACGGCTCCAGGGTTTGTGGATCTAGCAAATTAGAGGAAAAAAAAAAAAGATTGAATTCTTGCTAATTAGACTTCTTTAAAATAACAGATGGAAACCCTGTATTTAATTAACCAGATCTATATTCTAATTATGAATAAGAAGTTTGCCCCTGTCCTTGTTATTACTCTGGTCTTTGACTTTTATACCACCTATAGTTTATCCAAACTAAAACCACTAAAAAAAAAAAAAAAAAAAAAAAAAGTTAAAAAAAAAAAAAACCATACTATGTCCATTTGGTTTGGTATAAAAGAACCTTGTTAGAGAGTACCAACCAAGTTAGATAATTTATGAAAAAGCTTACATTCCCAGAAGTGCAAAATAAAATTTTTATCCCAGAATCAGGTTTGTCTTTAAGTTTCATTGGTAAGGGCCTAAAAATTATCTATTCTAATCATATTTACTAAAAGTCAAAAAGGAGAAGTAATTTGTGAAAAATCTCATTAATTATTGGGCAAAATTGAAACTCTAGAACATTAGAGTTAGATTTATTAAGGTATAATTTACATACAGTAAAATAATCCTCTTTGGTGTATAATTTAATTTTTTTCAACTTAATGGGTTTTGATAAATGCATACAGCTGTGTAAGTACTGCCACATTCAAAATATAGAATATTTCTCTCATTCCATTTTAATTCTCTTATGCTTTATAGCCAATCCCTGTCAAAAGAGTAGTGATGGGGTCTTATTTTACTTAAAAAGGATCACTCTGGGTGCTTCTTAGAGAATAAACAGGAGGAAAGAAGGGTAGAGTGAAGAAAGTGGAACACAGGAAAGTGATGTGTTAGCTTGATAGGTCAGTAAAGGTGGTGATGGTGGTGGGGAGAAGTTCATAGCAACAACAAAAAAGAAACCAAATGATGGCACTACAAAAATAGTAACAAGGCCTCTTTACTCAGCATCAATTTATTTAGTAGGAATAATTATTTAATGTGTTTGTGGGGTAGTTTACATCTGTGTAATATGGGTTGAGCATCCCTAATCTGAAAATCCAAAATCTGAAATGCTCCAAAATCTGAATCTTTTTGAGTGACCCACACAATGACACAGATGGAAAATTAAACACCTCATGCCACATGTTAGGCTTTCCTGAAAATGCAGGCACACTGAAAACATTGTATAAATTACCTTCAGGCTATGTGTTTAAAGTGTGTATGAATGAAACATAGTGAATTTCATTTCTAGACTTGGTTCATATCCCCAAAGCAAGTGTATAGAAATATTCCAAAATTCAAAACAAATCTGAAATCCAAAATAATTCTGGTCCTAAGAATCTCAGATAAATGATAATTGTAATTTTATAGTTGGAAATTTTTAAAAAGAGAGGTAAGAGAAAAAGACCTTAGCAATATAGATACCCTAGTCTAAAGGAAAAAGCTTATGTAAGTAAAAATTAAGAAGGGGAAATATCTGAGAAGGAAAGGCAAATACATCACCTCATCAAAGTCTCCTCTCACAATGTGAACATCACCAGCCAGAGTCTTGAGATAGTCATAACTCTCCTTGGTGCAAAGGTTTCCAGTGCAGAGAATGTGCTGAATCTTTCCTGGTACCAGGAGTTTTTTGAATTTAGCAGGTAAACTGTTGCACCGATGTGGGATGTGCAGATCTCCTAATACCAACACCAACTTTAAAAGTGTCAAGATGAGATAAAGCATATTAAACATGATGTCAAAAAATGACATTCTTGGGCTGGGGCCAGTGGCAGAGCACTTGCTAGCACATGAGAGTCACTGGGTTTGATCCTTAGCACCACAAAAAAAAAWAAATAAATAAACAAAAATAAAGGCATGCTGTCCACGTACAACTACAAAAAAAATTTAAAAAAATTTCTCCATAACTCCCCTTTCAAATTAAATTTATCAGAAATTCCAGAACCTGATAGAAGTTGTTCATATAGTTCCTATCATGACTATTCAAATCAAAACACATAATAATACACTCTTTTCTAAATCAATCTTTTTKTGTGTGTGTGTGTGTGTGGTGCTAGGGATTGAACCCAGGTCCTTATGCATTCGAGGCAAGCACTCTACCAACTGAGCTATATTCCCAGCCCCTAAATCAATCATTTTATTTTGGTCATAAACAATTAAGTATACACAATACAGATAATCACTCTACCTATCAAGAATAAAATCAAGCATTCCAAAGTGACTTATTTAGAGATCTATAAATTATTCTGAATTAAACAAAACCACAAAATGAAACGTATAATACTGAACCCTATAGAACTGGGCATTTTGAAGGCTTATAGGGCAATTCATATTTCTGTAGTTGTAACGTAAAATTTATATCTTAATTCCAGAAGCATTATTAAAGGGGATTATTAAAAATTTAATGAGAGAGAAGTTAATTCTGTAATTGATGCATATACTAGGTTGTCAGTTTGGAGAATAGAAGCCAAAATTTACCATTTTTGTTACTTCCAACTATTAGCTATGCATTACAGAGGTACAAAAACAGCCTATGATTCAGAGTTACAATAAAGATGTGCTTATGAATTATAACCTTTTTTGATATTTTCACTTTCCTTCATTAGAAACTCTGTCATGTTTTTATTTCCTAGATTAAATTACCTATGTACTGTCAGTATAATTCCCAAACTTAAAAAAAAATTCACAATCTTTATTGTGCATTAGAGGATTAAAACAAAAAAGAAAAGTCAGTTAAATAAGTGATGAATTTAGCAGGAGGTAGTTTAGAGTTGCAACATAGTCTCAGAGGACAAAATCATATTTTGTTCTGAAATATAAAAGAATAAAAACCCCCACTTCTGTAAAATTTCAAGATTTGACAAATAACATTATATAATTTAGTCATTTAACAGAATATTGTTAAAAAAGATAATTTAAAAATAATTTCTGTCCTCAGCCAGGAATGTTGGCACATGTCTGTAATCTAGCTATTTGAGAGGTTGAGAGTTGAGGCAAGAGGAATCCAAGTTCGAGGCCAGTTTTGGCAATTTAGTGAGACCCTGTCTCAAAATAAAATTTTAAAAAAGGCTGGGGATGTAGCTCAGTGTAGAGTGCCCCTCAGAGAAACCCCCAGTTAAAAAAAAAAGTAATAATAATAATATAATTTTAAAACTCTGCCCTCAAAAAGACAACATAATCAATTTTTTAATGTTTTTAGTTTAAGCACCTTCATTTCATACAGGATGTTTTCCCTTATAGACATCCTATCCATAAAGGTACATGCTTTTTCTCTGCCTTTTTTCTCCATATATTTTTTTTAATTTTTGTAGTTGTAGATGGACAGACTGCCTTTATTTTTTATTTGTATGTGGTGCTAAGGATCGAACCCAGTGCCTTGCACATACTAGGCAAGTGCTCCGACACTGAGCTACAACCTCAGCCCCCTTTCCCCATATTTTTAAATTGGTGCATTATAATTATATGCAATAGTGGGATTCTTTGTTACATATGTGTTTGCACATGATATAACAATTTGGTCAACATCCTTAACTAAGGCATGACTATTCCTCAATATTATCAAAGAAAATTTAAATACCTAATGTGATAAAACAAAATAATTTTGCTCCCACAGACTATAAACTGAAATTAATCAAAAAACAAAATGTGTAAATTAAAATGATTTCTAAAGCAAGTTTGATTCATTTAGCAACAAAAATAAAAATGACTGCAAAGGAAAGGAACTGTTATCAGGACACAAGGTAACTGAAGTAACATGAGGTTACAAAATTAGCACATTTTAAGAGAAACTGTTAAATAAGTTTCTTCTTTATAGCTTATATCATTTTATAGTTTATAAATATAGTTTCAGTAGATATTTGTGCAATGACCTGTTTCAATGGAGTGCTTGGTGGACATAAACTCTGTAGAACTAAAAAACTCTACAAAGTAGTTTCCACCCTCATTGGTAATCAATATAAAAACACCTTGATACAGACCAATCTTCATTCTGTTTTTTAATATTTATTTTTTAGTTATAGGTGGACACAATATCTTTTATTTTTATGTAGTGCTGAGGAGCGAACCTAGTATCTCACACATGGTAGGCAAGTGCTCTACCTCTGAGCCACAAACCCCAGCCCCTAGAACAATCTTCATTCTAAAGTGGAATCCTTTCAGATATGGATTGAAGTACATAGTTAATGTGGAAGCTGGCATATGAGAAAAAGATAAAAAATAGATTTTTATATTTAAAAAAGAACAAATTCATAACAGTGTATATGTCTATTAGAGGTTGAACATGTTTGGGACTAATAATGAATGAACCATTCAATCAGAATGCACTAGAAAGAAAATTAGTCATGATACTTTATGACCGATGACCTAAATTCTTCAAAGCACTCTGCATTATCCTCACATATATCCAAGACTATTAATAGTCTAAAGCTACAACTGTATGAAGACCACACTGAAATTATTTCAAATTAATTAAGGATTCTTATTAGGGCAGAATCCTCTGGTTTCCTGCTGGTGACAAAGTTATAAGGGAAAGAATGTCATATAGTATATGTTCAGGAGTGTCTTTGCCAATATTCCACACTTTGACAAATTAGGTTAGATACAGATTATAGAGTCTTTTAAGACAGCAAAAGATCCTGGATAGGGCTGGAGATGTGGCTCAGCGGTAGCGCGCTCGCCTGGCATGCGTGCGGCCCGGGTTCGATCCTCAGCACCACATACCAACAGAGATGTTGTGTCCGCCGAGAACTAAAAAATAAATATTAAAAAAAAAAAAAAAAGAACTAAAAAAAAAAAAAAAAAAGATCCTGGATATGGCAGTCTTGTTAAATTCATATAAAGAAACAACCCAAACAAAGCATGGGAATTTGGTTAGTTCCTATTTGACAGATCTTAAAAGGGTGAGAAACTCAGTCAGTAACAGCCACCCAACCACCATTGTTAGTAGGAGCTAAGAGAAGAAACTTACTCTGTGCCCAGCCTTAGTGGAATGAAGAAGTTGATTGCAGACAGGGGGATGGGGGGGGAAAAAAGGATGAAACATGACTAATGTTAAAAGAAAGCAACAAAAGGAAACAAATCAAAACAACAACAACAAAAAAAAATCCCACACCAAATGAATATGCAAAACATTGTTAATGATTTCTAATTGTTAAGAAAGAAAATGTTAAAAATCAGCTGTGCTCAAAATAATAACCAAAGAACCATTTGCTGTACTTTAAAACATGACATAAATGCTCACTTTTTAATAAAATTGCCTTATCAGTTTTTTTTACTTTTCTACTTGATCTTGTTCTCCACGTTGACTCCCATCTCTTTTGTTTCTCTTCTGTTTAAAATTTTAGAATAAAGTTTTTAATTTTTAGAAAACAATTTGGAAATTCATTGGCAATAGCCTAAAGGTTAATCTCTTCTGGATTCTTGGGCTCTAATTATCCTTCAGGTATATTGGCTTTAATTGTCTTATGTTCAAAGTTCTAATAGTGAAAAACTATGCTGCAGCTGTTTTTTTCATAGAGGATGTATACAAATACCATAAATATGTATCAAGTGACAAAAATGTCAACAAATAAAGACAGACACATTAATCCAGTTAAAATTGGACCTTCCTGGTATCTAAATTTGCTGCCCACAGACTCTGGGCACTGTACAGTGTTAAATGTCTCTAAAATTCTTTGCCAAATAAAATGTTTTTACTCATAAAAGAATTAGCTGATGATAAATTTTGTTCAGTTCTTTTTCATATGAAAAGTCCATCTACCCCCAAAAGTGTTCACCTTTCTAAACAACTTCTGAAACATGAATTTGGAATCATGGCTGGAAAGTATTTCTTCTCCCTTGGATAAATGTCTCAAYAGTACTGTAAATTGGAGTCTGTTTAGAAGCAAAAAGTCAAAAGTGGGATTAAAGCCTTTGTTAATAACAATAATAATAATAATAATATTACATATTTTTGGTACTGGAGGTTGAACCCAGAGCTCCCTACGAGTGAGCTACACCTCCAGCCCTTTTTATTTTTTTATATTGAGACAGGGTCTATCTAAATTGCCAAGGCTGCCTCAAATCTGCCATCAAACCCCTGGGATTACAGGCATGCACCACCACACCAGGCCAGGATTAAAGCCTTTAAAGAAACAATTATACAATTCAAATTTTAGACTGTCACCTTATAAACCACCTTTTGAAAGGTACTATTTGTTATAGAATAGTAACAGTATTAAAAATGTAATGATCAGAGAGAAGTTCCTCCAGTTAAACTCCACCAACACAAACATCAAGAATATCAGAGTTCCTCTGCCGACAGTTGACATTTTAGAGGGCCAAAGACACCTTAGAAAATCTGATTACAATTATGAACCCTCTACAGCAGCAGCTCCCCAGTTTTTATGTAGTTTGGTGTTTTGTTTGTTTTTTCGTTGTAGATGGACATGATATCTTTTTATAATGTGGTTCTGAGGATCGAACCCAGTGCCTCACACGTGCTAGCAAAGTGGAATTAAAGTGGGATTAAAGTGGGAAAGTGCCCTACCAATGAGCCACAGCCGAGCCACAGCCCAGCCCCTGTAGTTGGGTTTTAAGGTTAGCAACCTATGGGGGTGATGGGGGACAGCCTGAAGCTGGCTGGGGAATCATGGGGAAATACGATGCAGGAATGCGGTAAAGCTCCCTAAAACACCCCTTGGCGCCAACTCTGGCTCTCTCCCCCACCCCAAAAGCACCTGTCCACAAAATTTTCCAAATAATTTCATGGAATTCACACACCCATCAAGGAATCCTGCTCTAGAGAGTCGCGCCAGGCGCTGCCTTCGGAGAGCAAGGGCAGCTGCGTGTCATTCCAGGGGCGGAGAGATGGGCTCTCGCTCCCTTTGCCTAGATGGCAAACTTGAACGGCCAGTGAGTTCTGCGGAGACTTCCCGTTAGGCACTGAGAGGCCAGCTTTCGCCACACAGGGTGGCGGCCAGAACACCCCAACCAGCTGGAAAGGAGCAGGGCACGCCTGGGAGCGCAGGGGGCCGCTGGAGGAGCAGGCCCCAAGGCCCTCCCCACTCCAGCGTGCCGAACTCGTGACAGGGCAGGCAGCTGAGGCCCTGTCCACCCGCGGACATCCTCTGGCCCCTGGGGCCCAGGGGCGAGGCCAGCACCGCCCGCACCCAGAGGTGGCCGCTCCCTTCCTTTCCTAGCCTTCCTCCTGGGCCTTCCCCAGGCCGGCGCCTCGGCCGCGCTCGCCAACGCCTCCGGGATGGCCCAAGCCCTCGCCCTGAAATCCCCCACGGCTCCCAACGATGCAGTAACCCCGCCGATAGCCAGGCCCCGGTCGCCAGCGGCCGTCCTCACCATCCTGTCACCGGGCTCCGCTCAGTCACCAGAACAGCAGTCGCCCTCTTCCTCAGGTTCCTCGGTGACCCGCCCACTTTCCCCTCAACCAATGAAAAACGAGGTCGACTGGAGACGGCCCTACGGGGACCCGCACAGTCCTTTTACCGCCGGAAAGCGAACCTGTGTTTTGAGAATTAGTGGAGGCGGAGTGAGAGTGGGAGGAATTGAGGCTGCGTAGCTTCGAAAAACGCGGGCAACATCCGGGCATTTGGGGCCAGCAAGCTAACGTGCGCCTTCCAACCCTGCCTTTCAGCAACCGCAGCCATGCTGAAGTGCGGGATGAATGGCAGTCAGGTGAAAGGTGGAGCAGCCTTTTTTGCCTCCCTATGTAGAAGAGGAAAAGTCTAAAAAGCCAATGACGTGTCTTCAACTGTCGCCTCATTCTTTCCCTTTGCCTTTGTGCGCCAGCGCTGAAGTCGCGTCCTGACCACTGCCTGTCCCCACGAGGGCCCTGGGGGCTTCTGACGGCAGGATGAAGGCCCCTCTCCGTTGAGGCGTAGTGTTCAGTACTGCGCAGCGTGTGGGGAGGAGTGGGGAGAAAAATAATGTGTGGACAAAGTATTTTAGTGCCCAGAAAAAAAATGAGCCTAATTTTTTGCACAGATTCAATCTTTTTTGGTACTGGGGATTTTTTTTTTAAGAGAGAGAGAGAATTTTTCTTAATATTTATTTATTTATTAGTTTTCGGGGGACGCARCATCTTTGTTTGTATGTGGTGCTGAGGATCCAACCCAGGCTGCACRCATGCCAGGCGAGCGCTCTACCGCTTGAGCCACATCCCCAGCCCCTGGTACTGGGGATTGAACCCAGCACTCCACCATGGAGCCACATCCCCATCCCTTTTATTTTTTTATTAGAGACAGGATCTCACTGAGTTGCTTAGCACCTCGCTGTTGCTAAGGCTGGTTTTGAACTTGTGCTCCTCCTGCCTCAGCCTTCCAAATCACTGGGATTACCACGCCCAGCAGATTGTACGATTTTAAAACCACTAAATCACCTTGGGTCTCAGTTTCCTCATCTGTAAAATGGGAACCTTAGCAGCACTTTAGAAAAGCACTTTCATGAATAGGGTTTGTTGTAGGCATGAAATGGAAATTAATATAAACAAAAGGGAATGTATGGAACTGCTCTTCATTGTATATGGCCCTTTAAAAATGGAAGTTAATACAGAAAGCATTTAGAAAAGCAGTGGCTTTCTATAAATTGTAGCCTGAAAACTATCTTGTATTGTGCCTGGCTTCATTTGTGTTGAAGACAAAAATAGGAAAATAATAATGAGCAGGAAAGGAAGTACAAGTTCCCCCATTGTTACTTGTTCCCAGAGTACTAGGAAATTGTCTTTAGCAGTGTGCACCTTCTTTTTCAATAGGCAATTTTTAAAAATATTTTTTAGTTGTCAGGAATCTTTATTTATTTATATGTGGTGCTGAGAATCTAACTCAGTGCCTAACACATGCTAGGCAAGTGCTCTGCCACTGAGCTACAACCCCAGCCCCATCAATAGCCAATTTTCTGTGATTATTTAATTTTGCTTTCCTTCCTAGACTGTAAATGTGATGAGGGCAGGAACTATACTTGTCTTGTTCATTACTGTACCCCAGGGCTGTATTTGGAGTCTAGTAGGTGATCAATACATATTCATTGGGTGAATGAAAGGTCTGCATCAGGCAATCCAGGAAGCAAATGTGAAGAGACACATGTCTCTTTTAAAATTATTTATTTATTTAGGTCATCCCATCTTTCCTAGTTTGCACACTTGTGATTCTTTAGCATTGCAATCTGAATTCTGGGATTGTTATTTCTTTTTTTATGTTCTTCATTAGATTGATAGGTCCATTCATTTATATTGCAGCATAGTTTCCTCTATCTATTTGCATGGTTTTTACTTATTCATAATTTATAAGAACATTAATGGTATTAACCCAAGCCAGATCAATATTTCATCCAGCCCTAGCCTCTCTAACAGGACATGTAAGTGTGTTTGATGGGAAAGTCTGACATCTTCTATGGTAAAATCTGGTATTTCCCCATGCTAACCTCAAGCAGAGATGAATGCTCTTAATTTCTCTCTCGTAATGCATTTAAAAAAAATTAGTTGTAGTTAGACACAATACCTTTATTTTATTTATTCATTCATTTTTTATGTGGTGCTGAGTATCAAACCCAGCACCTCGAGTATACTAGGTGAGCACTCTACTGCTGAGCCACAGCCCCAGCCCCTCTCGTGATGCTTTTTGACATGACCAGCTGTGGAGTTATTAAAACATTTAAAATCATCCTCTCCATGCCCTTTTTCCATATATTTTTTGCAAATAGATTTATTTAAACTAAGTTGAAAAAATGCAATAGTATGGAAATTTCCTTGCCACAACAGCTCCACACAATACTGCAGACATATAGAAGAAAGAATGTCATTGAATTTTATACACTCATTCTGCAAATTTATTGAGCTCCTACTATGTGATGGCATTTTGCCAAAGGCATTATACTGTATTTCTTAAAGCAATGTGTCATTAGTCTAGAAAATGTTATATGGATCAGTTGAACAATTTGTCTATCAGATATATTTAATTAAATAATTTGTCCCTAGATATTTGTATAAAACATGCAAAAACATCCTATTTTGATTAAGGAAATTGTTCCAATATATGCAGGAGAAGGAATTCAAAAGCATTATTTCCAGGTCAATCATACCACAAAAATTCAGCCAAAGATGAATCCAACATATTGCAATAAACCCCTTTTGAGATCTTGCACTTTGATTTTCATTTGTTCTGATAGGACTTGACATGAAACAGAAGTTGAGATCATTATGGCTAACTTGAGTTTATTAGAAACCAAGGAAAAGCTGAATGTTATTACTGTCTATACAGTCCATGAATTAGAATGAATGGTAGAACCAGGCTGAACTATGTGTCGCAAAATAGGCAACAAAGTGTGGGTAGAATCGTTGCCATCTATTTCCATATTACCAATAGTTGATTGATGCGTATTATCTACAAAACCAAAAGCCTCTATTTCTCTCTCTAGGAATTAGACCCACAGGGCAGGGAAGAATTGTTCAACTGAAGAATCTGTTAAAGAATTTGACCTGCAGGAACAAATTGTTCAGTAGATTCCACTGATCTTTATGAATTTATCTTGAGTCCTCTGCTTGATGAAGTACCCCTGTGGTTTGTTTTTGTTATTAGAAAAAGAAGGAATGTAAACAGTGCTTTTCTTTTTCTCCATAGTGTTTGGGAAAGCAATCCAGGCTTTATCCCGAGTGAGTGATGAGCTGTGGCTAGACCCCTCTGAAAAAGGTGTAAGTGTTACCAAAGTAAAGCTCATCCCACAAACAAACCAATGTCCCAGAAACGAGTTGGGGAGAAAGAAAGGCTTTATTTAATGTCCAAGAACAGGGCAAGAGGGCGCTCTGTTGGCACATCAACTTCTCAACTCCAGGGGCTTCAGAGGTTTTGGATATAGGACAGGAATAATGAGGGAGAGAGATAGGCTAATAAAAGGAAGAAAATTCATATCTTTTCTGGGAACAGGTAGAAATCTTCCAGGAACTTGGGGTGCCACCTCTTTTTACTTCAGTTATGTCTGGTGTTTCTGGTGATGGTTTCTTTAGCCTGGAAGTGGGAGAAAAGAGGCTAAACAAGTCTAGTTAACCCTGCGTCACAGTTTTGGGCAAAACATTTCTCAAGTGAACAACATGTCTACATGCAGAGCTGAGTGAAAACCTGATCCAAGGTTAAGGCAGCAAAGGAGAAAGACACAATTTGGAGGCAGAGAGGCCAGAGTCTTTTCATCCTATTCCTGTCACCCATTGGACATAAGCACACCCAAGTGAAGAGTCAATGTTTTCAGCAAAAGTGGCCTTCAAGTCCCCGAAAAGTATCCTATACAACCTATCATCATAACTCACATGTCAGAGATGATATCTACCCCAAAGCTAATGGAGGCTAATTATTTATTAGCTTTGGGGAGGCTAATAATTTATTTCCATCTCTGTGATCTCCAAAATCAGTGATTTTTTTAAAAGTCAACTAAGAGCAAGAGAATCTGGAGGGTTTATTTAGGTTTTTCTCTGGTAAAATAAATAAGAATGTGAAGTAATAGATCATGCAGTAAGACAGAAATGTTTAAAGATCCTAGTCCAGATTGAATGGAACCAGGAAATTCAGAAATTACAGTTATCCCTTTCATTGTTCACCTTTATTTTATATATCTTAGTATACTTAGAGCACAGGAAACTTGAAATCATGCAGAAAAACATAATTTATTCAAGTCAGGAGTGATACACTGGTGATCAAGAGACTAGATGTGGCCTGTAGAAATATTCTGTGAGACCTACACTGTTGTTTGTTTTTTCATGGAGGGGCTGGAGATGTAGTTCAGTGGTAGAATGTATGTTTTTCATGCACAAGGCACTGGGTTCAATTCCAGCATACTCCCTCAAAAATTGAAATAATTTCTAACATTTAAAAATTGTGAGAGTCCACATAAAAATCTGAATTTCCTGCTTCTCTTAAAAATGTAAAAGACCCAGGACTGGGATTGTAATGCAAACAGATAAATAAAATTAAAAGACCTGACAATTTTGGGCTTACAGTCACAAATGAAATTAGTTAACCAGAACCAAGTAATGGTTTTTCTCCCTTAGATGAGGTATGAGACCACCAATTTACTATAACTCCTTTTTATATCACCTTATGCCACTTCATCCATTAAAGTTAAAGCCCCTGTGGGCATTTTCAATTCCCCGTGGGCATTTTCATTTTCAATTTAATATAGGTACATACACATATGTATGTATATATGCAAATTCAATATACACTCAATGGTGTAGTCCATAGTTAACATTTCATGGTGTTATAATTGAACTTATTTAATTAGGATATTAAACATAGTTGAATTTAAGTATTCAACTATCACTTAAAGAAAGTTGGTTTTCTCCTAAATAGCTCTCTTATTTTTCCCAGCTTGCTCTAAGATCAATGAATTCTTCTCGATCGGCATATGGATGTGTCCTATTTTCTCCTGTATTTTTTCAACATTATCAATGGTCAACCTCAATGAAAATGAATGATAATGACAGAGCATTGAATTTAAATTGCAAATTGGGAATGAAGGTAAATATAAGTAGTCCTGGGTTTCTCTTGCATTGGAAAAATATTTATTATATAGGATATAACATATATTCTATACTTGGTAATTGGCATGCAGGACAATTCTGCTTATTTATGAATATTACATACATCCTTGTTAGTTTTAAAGAAACAGATAAAACAACCATATTAGGTATGTTCTTAATATGTATAATATGTTTGTGTTACAGTCAATTCTACCCATCTTTAGATGTCTGACTTCTCTCGAAAGAAATGTAGAAAAGTGCAAAATATTCACCAGCTCTGATGAATGCAAAATAGTTATTCAGTTCTTCTGCAGGCATGGTAGGTGTTCAAAGTGGTTTAAATTTTTGTGTTTTCTTCTTTTTGTGTGTGTGTGTGTGTGTGTGGTGCTGGGGATTGAATCCACAGCTTTGTGCATGTGAGGCAAGCACTCTACCAACTGAGCTATATCCCCAACCCATGTTTGCTTCTTAATATGATTCTTGTTTAGAGTATTCAGACTCTCGAGATGTCACATAAACATTGTTGCTTAGGATTTGTGTAGTTATGTGGTAGGGCAGTTGTACTATCTTACCTGTCTCTGTAGGAGTATTGTAAGATGATTGGTATTAATTATTTCCTTCTTATGACTTGTGAATGGCACAAGCTTTACCTACATACAAACTGCTATTTTAAAATGCTTATTTGAATTTAAATTGGTTACTCTAAAATTGACTGATTACTCTATGGTATTAGTCACAAATGCTCCTAGGTAAGAACAGGAAAAAAAATGTCTGCTGATATTGAAAGTGTCTAGGAGTAGAATATTATCATAGCTGGGGCTGAGGGAGGCCCAAAGTCACAGAACTAATAAGTCACAGAGCCTGGATTTGAATCCTGCCCACTTTGGGAGCCAAAGCTCACATTTATTCTCTCTGTTACACCAAGCTTTCACATTTCCTGACCTCAGGCTTATAAGCAAGATATTAAAATGTTGTACTGACAGGACTTTTGCATTCTTTTTAAATTTTTTTTTAGTTGTTGATAGACCTTTATTTTATTTGTTTATATGTGGTACTGAGGATAGAACCCTGTGCCTCACACATGCCAGGCAAGTGTGCTATCACTGAACCCAGCCCCAGCCAAGGACTTTTGCATTCTTAACATGTATGGCATACTGATTCAGAATATGGACTCTGAATGCCATGAAGCCTAGGGTGAAATCTGGTTCTGTCCCCTCTGTGGTAAGACCTACAGCAAATTATTTTATATTTTGAGCCACTTTTTCTCAGTATGTAAAATGGGGCCATAATATATGTTAATATCATCCTTCTATGATTTTTATAAGGATTCAAAGCTTAGTAAAGCATTCTTTTATTTATAAGAAAGCCTTTATATTCTGTAAGGGATAGCGTTGGTTATATTTATTAGGATCACTGCTATTTTCTTTTAAGTTAACAGGAAGAATTTTATGTTTTAAAAACATATCTGATGGTGCACACATGTAATCCCAGGTACTTAGTAAATGCAGAAAGCTAACAAGTTCAAGGCCAACCTGGGTAATTTAATGAAACCCTGCCTCAAATTTTAAAAACTTTAAAATATTTATATTTTTAGTTATAGATGGACACAATAACTTTATTTT